AAATGGGGCATCTTATGTGATTGGTTTGGAAAATATATTTGACTTTCTCTGGTTGGTCCTAAGTTGGACAAAGAATTGCGATGTTGGCAGTTATTAACCAAGTCTTGACCATGCTGGGTCCATTCCTGCAGAGACTGATTCGTCTTCCTTGGTTGGTTGCTCCAGAGGTTTTGGGTCAGAGATTTTTGGTCATAGAATGTCTGACCATTGTCCATTTGTATACCAATTTGTCTCTTTTTGAAAATATATTTTTGACTCCTTCATTAATCTTTTCAAGTAAAAAATGTTGTGATATTGTGTGGTTAAGATGGGTTATTCATTACACTTGCAGATCCTGAGTCTATACTCACACTTGCTTTTGATTTTGTAAACTAACCTGGGATTTTCAATTGGCTGTTGTTACATAAATGACTTGATTTCAAACTATATCATTTTCTATTTCAAATTGTAACCAAAATTTAGACTTTATGTTCTTAGTCTTTTTTAGCCAGTCCTTATACCTCAGCATCTCCATTTCTGAGTTGTTTAGTCCATAGATTTACTTCAAATTTTTTTCCAGTCCTTAAATTTTTCTTCCAGTCTGAGAATTTCTTTCTGTTCAGCTTACCTCATCTGTAGAATTGATTTATGTACAATAAGAATGCATTAAAAATGCTTAGCAAAGTGTGAAGCATATAGGAAGTGTTCAATAGTTATCAGTTATTTTATCATCATCATCATCATCATTATTATTATGAAAGTGTTAGTTGCTGAGCTGTGTCCAATTCTTTGCAACTCCATGGACTGTAGCCCACTAAGCTCCTCTGCCCATGGGATTTTCCAGGCAAGAATACTGGAGTGAGTAGCCATTCCCTTCTCCAGGGGATCTTCCTGAACCAGGGATTGAACCTGGGTCTCTTGCATTGCAGGCAGATTCTTTACACTGAACCATGAGGGAAGCCCAATTATTAGTGTGAAAGTGAAAGTGAAGTTGCTCAGTCATGTCCAACTCTTTGCGACCCCATGGACCGTAGCTTACCATGTTCCTCTGTCCATGGGATTTTCCAGGCAAGAGTACTGGAATGTGTTGCCATTTCCTTCTCCAGGGGATCTTCCTGACCCAGGGCTCAAACCCAGGTCTCCCACATTGTAGGCAGATGCTTTACCATCTTAGCCACCAGGGAAGTCCTCAATTATTATTAGTATAGTTCACATATAAAACACAGCTTGGCTAGGTTTTTAATACTTTTTTCTCACAACCCTATAAACATGGTTTCAATGTTGTATTATCAACCTTATTTCTTTTATTTCTGTCTTTATTTCTAACTTGGCTTATAGGATTTTTCTTTAAGTTTGTAATTTAACATTTTTTCTGGATTGTGTTTTGGTGTGACTCTCTAGGATTTTTTTTCCTTTTTTTTTTTTTTTCTGCACCAGGCATGTGGGATCTTCTTTGACCAGGGATCAAATCCATGCCTGCTGCATTGGGACTGTGGAGTCTTAACCACTGGACCACCAGGGAAGTCCCAGTTTCTTTTTTTTTTATAATTGAAACTTGCTGTGTTCCTTCAGTAAGTATACTCACTTTTGTTTGCTTACTTCTTTGTTCTTAATTCATTAATCTCTCCTTCTGTTTTAGGTTATTTCTTCTGTTCACACGGTCCTGATGTCTTCCTGAGGAGGACCATGTTGTAGGTCAGAGGATGGCCCTCCAGCCTGTCATTTGCGCATCATGCTTCTCTCTTTCTCCTCTTGCTCTGAGTTTTCGAAGAGTTTCAAGTTTTTCTTCCAGGTCACTGATACATCCCGTCCTTAGGATTCTGCTCCTACTGCTCCCAATTCTTCTATTATCTGTTTGGTTTCCTTCATCATCTTACTTTCTCTTCATTTCATGGTTTTCTGTCACCACACCTATGTTTGTTTTTCTTCTATTGTGATTTCTTGCTCATGTGTAATAACAGCCATGCCCTTTTGAATCCTATTGAGGTTACCCAGCAGTTTTCTTTAAAAACAAAAAACAAAAAACACAGTTGTTTCTTGTAAAAGTTCATTTTCAAAAGTTTGACCTTGCTCAGGGTCTGAAGGGTAAATAAAGTTCCCTTTGCGTCGTTCTATGATATTTTTCATAGGCCTTGTATTGGGGTCTTTCACTTGTTTGTTTGATCAACTGATTTCTTTCTTTTTGGGGAGGGGGCTGAACTGGGTCTTTGTGGCTGCACAGGCTTTTCTCTCGTTGTGGGGAGTGGAGGCTACTGTCTAGTTCTCTAGTGGTGGTGTGCGGCCTTAGTTGCCCTTCAGCATGTGGGATTTGCCCTGGTCAGGGATTGAACCCATGTCCCCTGCATTGGCAGGCAGATTCTTAACCACTGGGCCACCAGGGAAGTCCTCGTAGATTCATTTTTATGTGTTGGATTTTAAAAATCCATATCAGAACAAGAAAACTATATTCAAATAGTGTTTGCCAGCAGACAAAAATCTATGAAGACCCTTGTGTCTGCCATCTGTCTACTGGGACGCCAGTTGAGTTCCCTGCTCAGAATTCAGCAGGAGGGCAGAATCGTGTGTTGTGCCCCAGCCCAATTGCTTGTGTTGCTCAACTAGATTAGTATTTGTGCCTTAGATAGATTTTTCTCCTATTGCCTGCCTGGCTCTTTCATTCTCTGAGCAGATGTATTACATGAAAAAGAACAGTCACCAGGATACCTGCTCCCAGGTTTCATCCTGCTTCTGTCTCTCACCGTCAGCACTTTACTTTTAATTCATTCACACAGCAGCCTGTTAGTTTGGTACTATCTCATTTGTTTATTTTTGCTCTTTCTGTCCTTCCCTATGAAGTCAGATCCAAAATAAATTTCCCTAGAACCAATGTCAAGGAGATCACCACCTATGTTTTCTTCTGGGAATTTTATGGTTCCAGGCCATACATTCAAGGTTTTAATCCATGTTCAGTTAATTTTTGAATATGATATAAGATACCAGTCCAGTTTGATTCTTTTACATGTAGTTGTCCATTTTCCCCAACACCATTTATTGAAGAGAATGTTTTTTCTCGATTGTATATTCTTGCCTCCTTTGTCATAGATTAATTGACTGTACATGCACTAGTTTATTTCTGGACTCTATTCTGTTCCATTGATTTGTGTGTCTGTTTTTGTGCCAGTACAATATTGTTTTGATTTCTGTAGCTTTGTAATATAGCTTTAAATCAGGGATAAAGTAGCTAGTGTTTATGCTGGTCAAAACTGCCTTCACTTCCTCATACTCTAGACAATTTTTCAAATAAACCAGTAGCCTGTGGACAGTAATGCACAAAGAAAATAATCTCTTCCAGTTTTCCAGGGACCACTAATTAACCACGAGGCTAGTAGATACTCTCTGTAACAAAGTACCATAGTTTTCTAGCAGTTTTTCTTTTCTGTGGCTGTTTTGAAAAGTTATTATTTTTCCACTCATATGTACAGTTGTCATTTAAATATTCAAGTGTACTCTAAGGCTGATGCTTCCACAGGCAGAATATTAAACGTCCTTGATCAAGAAACTACAACATTGTTATTAACTGTATTATCAAATGTCAACTCCTAGACCAACACTACATACTTAAAATCACCTGTCTCCTTCCTTAGTAATATTTCAGTATAATGTTTTCCCCATCAAGACTTCTCTATAATGGTTCATCTTCCTTTGTTTGATATACCTCCTCATGTTCCAACACAGCGAACTTTATATATGCGAACTTTTTATAATGATTAAAATCATTATAAACTATGTCTTTATATATTGATAATTTTCATCTTACATCTCTTCCTTTTTTTTTTTTTTGGCTACACCACAAAACTTGTGGGATCTTAGTTCCCCCACCAGGGATCAAACCTGCACCTCCTGCATTGGAAGGGCAGAGTTTTAACCACTGGACTGCCAGGGAAAGTCCCATCTTCATTTTTTAATAAAACAAAATATTGCAGGGGTTTCCCTGGTGGTCCAATGGTTGGGAATCTGCCCTCTCAATGCAGGGGCCCAGGTTCGATCCCCAGTCTGGGAACTAGATCTCCCATGCCACGTACAACCAAGAGTTCACATGTCACACTTAAAAAAAAAAAAAAGATCCTGCATGCTGCAGCAAAGATCAAAGATCCTGCATGCTGTAACTAAAACATAGTGCAATCAAAATCAAATTATTTTTTAAAAATAAATAAAAACAAAATATTGCAGGTAAAATCAAGATCTCCTTTGTTCCTTTCCCCAGACCCATTCTCTTTCCTTCTTTAGAAGCAGCTATGATCATGAATCCTTGGAGAAGCTTCCAGCATGTTTTTATATTTATATATGCATCTATAAACAATATGTAATATTGTCATATGTACTTTTAAGATAAATGTCAGTGTACTCTACACATCTTCTGTGATGCTTTTTTCACTCAACATTGTTTTTGAGATACGTTTACATTGTACTAATAGATTTTGTTCAAGTTCCCTTAGCATATTGATTGTTCTATGATTGCAATTTACATAAAAACAGACAATATTCCAAAAAAAGACTTTAAGTCACTCCCTGTGTGACAGGGAGGGAAACTCTTGCCTGAAGAACTTTCTGCCATCTGTGATTTGAAGAGTGGGGTAGAGTGTCTTTCCAGTGTGAGTGCAAGCGCTGAAGTAAAAAGCATCTGGTCAAAGCTAGGATAATATGTGCTGACTGGGTGAGGGGAAGAGGAGTGGTTTAAAATACAATTATGCTTGGAGCATATGCTCTTTAGGATACCATTCCTCTCTCCCAGCAAGATCCTGTCACGCTGGTGCTGAAGGCTGTATTCTGCTATGGAAAACACAGAACTAGGATAGACAAACATCTCCTTGGCATCTGTCTGATACACAGATATAGACTTGGGTCTCAACATTCCCTCTATAGCTGGTGAACATTTGTTGAACACCAACAGTGACATAGGCACGGGAAATGCAGCTGCTTGCAATATCATTTCATTATAAGCAGGAGCCTTGCTGAGTTCTTCTGTCTGTCTTTTATTAAAGGTCCACACACGTTCCTGTTGGGGAGGATCAAGTCCAGCACATGGAGCTAGTTCAGGATCTAGCACAGAGTTTTAACAAGAAGTATGGGGAGTTCTTCCCAGTACCCAAGTCCATTCTGAGTAAGTAGCAAATATGAGATTGTCAAATCAGGTTGCATTTTGAAGAGAGAGGATTGGATGATGGACTAAGAGATTTGGAACTTTCTTGGGACTATATTTGGCTTTGTCATGAACAGGTATCAAGATTTGTAATGAGAATCCCATCTTTTTCTGTAATGTAGGACTAGTAGGCCTCATTGGATTATTGACTAAAATAACCAAGGAAGTTTGAAAAATATGAGAGACTAGAAACTACAAATAATAATTTTCATTCTAAAATAGCATATATATATACATACACACACACACACACACACACAGGGTGTGTGTGTGTGTGTGTGTGTGTGTGTGTGTGTGTACTCAGTCGTGTCTGATTCTTTTGCAACCCCATTTATTATAGCCCACCAGGCTTTTCTGTCCATGGGATTTTCCAGGCAAGAATACTGCAGTGGGTTGCCATTTCCTTCTCCAGGGGAGGATCTTCCCAACCCAGGGACTGAAACTGTGTCTCTTGTATCTCCTGCATTGGTAGGTGGGTTCTTTACCACTGGCACCACTTGGGAAGCCATATATATATATATATATATATATATATATATATATATATACACACACACACACACACACACATACATATATATGTATTTCTAAACACATCTTATTTGGTAGAGCAGGTATCTTTCCCCATCTTGTGGATGAGGAAACTGAGGTTTCGCAAGGCTGGCTTTATGCCCAAGTCATGTTTCTAGCTGGTTGCAAAGCTGGATCCTACACCAAGCTCTTCTTGTTCCAAAGCCAGCTGACCTTGCCTTCTCTGTTCACAGTAGAACAGAAGTACTAAGAGTGAGACCACTGGATCATAATCTAGATAAACCAAGAGGGCACTGATAATCCTCATACTTTGCCTTCTTATGCACAATGTGCAACTAAGATGGAGTATACAGTTCTACCTACTGAGTCCAAAAACCTCACCTGCGGCTTGCAAAGCTACATTAGTCTGGAATCTTATCGAGGAAAGAAGCTGTAAATCTCTATCAACATTTTGGTAGCAGTGTTAACTTATGGCAGGATCAGAGATCACTGAACCTAAACTCTGCCCATCTTTATTAAGCTGACAGCATTTTAAAGAGTATAACATGTGCCTAGTATCAATTTAGAAGCAGAAGATGGATATAAATTCCTAAGTTATTCCAGCAGTTCATACAAATATATTTAGGGCCCCCCATGCATTGAAATCAACCTTCTTTTAGCAATAAGGACTATTCTCTTGCTTTGGACAATTTTATTTTACCTATATAAACTTTATATGTTTCTGTAATAGCCATAAATTAGGCAATTATTAATAATACTGGTTTTATAAAGCACAGCATAACATTTTTATTCTATCAGAGCAATAAAGTCACTTTTCTCACTCTCATGCGTGTGTGCGTGCATGTGTGTTTGTGTGTGTGTTGGTAATTTTAGGTAATAATTACCTAATTCATGGTAAAAAATGGAAAGAAGCCATAGGTTGTGAAAACTGGCATGGAGGTAGGAAGGGCAGTAGTCGTAGGCAGGGGCTGATTAGCCTATAGGGAAGAGCAAAGAGGAAAGAAACAGAGAATACTTTTTAAACTATGCATGGCACCACAGTATAGTTGATACAAATTCCCTTGTATAAAATTATATGTTTTTATGTGTATATATGCATTAAAAGCTACATGAAAATATGACCAAAATATTAACATTTTATTACATATAGTACACATTTACTTTCATGCTTGCTCAAATTGCTTGAATTTTTTACAATGAATGTTTGTTATTTATTTAACCAGATAAAAATAATGAAGTTATTTGATGTTCTCACTGCTTTTTAAGATCTAGACACTAACATTCCTATTGGTGTTTTGTTATTTTGTTTACATCTCCCCCCACCCCCACTACCCCGGGACGTGTGTTGGTGTTTCTACCTAGCATCAATGAAGAAGGTAAAGTCCCTGCGTGATCCCTCTGCCAAAATGTCAAAATCAGACCCCGATAAACTGGCCACTGTCAGAATAACTGACAGCCCGGAGGAGATAGTGCAGAAGTTCCGCAAGGCTATGACGGACTTCACGTCGGAGGTCACTTACGAGCCCGCCAGCCGAGGGGGCGTGTCCAACCTGGTGGCCATTCACGCAGCGGTGACCGGGCTTCCCGTGGAGGAGGTGGTCCGCCGCAGTGCTGGGATGGACACTGCTCGTTACAAGCTGGTGGTGGCAGATGCTGTGATTGAGAAATTTGCTCCAATTAAGAGTGAGATTGAAAAACTGAAGATGAACAAGGACCACTTAGAGAAAGTTTTGCAAGTTGGGTCAGCAAAAGCCAAAGAATTAGCATATCCCGTGTGCCAGGAGGTGATGAAATTGGTGGGCTTTCTATAAGAAGTTTCAGTGAGTCCCCAAAAGACTTTTCTATCTTGTGGTCTGTGCACTCCGATAAAAGCAGCTTTTCTCACAAGCAAACAATTAGAGTTTAGGGACACATAATTTGGTACATCTGATCATTGGTTTCATTTGATGAATAAAGAATTGTAGGTGTCAAATAAAGCAGTGTTCTGAATCCCAAATTCTCTAGCAAAAAAAGAGAAAAAAGCCCAGAAGTCATAACTATCTGAATCCTCAATTATTTGATGCATGCTCATTGCCTTAATTTATTCACACAAATGTGATTGAGGTAAGTAGTAGTTAATTTGGCCAATGAGTGTTTCATTTTTTGTCTCTCTCTGGAGTCCTTACCATCACAGGTGCTCCCTTTATCTATCCCAACCTTTTTAAAGAGTAATGTGTAGAAGTCTTAGACTTATAATCCTTGGAATGCCATTTGGACCAATTTGTGTTCAGATCTCATATCAGAGCTCATAAAAATAAGTCATTTGTCACTGAGATGATCCCTGCTTTATTGTATTTAATCTGCTTGTTTCCCAAGAGACCACACTGATTTTTCTAGACAGTATTATTATTATATTTTTTATTCAGAGATACATGATATAACGTTCTGAGAAGGTTGAATTATTTCAACTTGATATATTTATTGTACTAAAGCCCAGGTCCATGGATTATGTTCTTAATATGTATTGCCTTGCATTTGTCCCTCAGTTTAATGTCATCAGCCCATCATGAATCTACAGGAGAGGAACTGCCATTTTTTATCTGAAGAACATGAGGCTCAGAGAGTACTGTTAGCTTGTACAGTATCTCTCCATGAAAAAGAAGCAAATCCAAGATCAAAACCTTTACTCCTTATTCCTAAGTAATGCTTTTTTCATCAGCACATAGAGAGGCAGCATGTTTGAGACCGCAAGCATTCTTATTTTGAAGATGAGTACTAGAAATATAGGACTCCCCAGGTGGCTCAGTGGTAAAGAACCCTCCTGCCTAGGAAATCCCATGGACAAAGGAACATGGTGGGCTACAGTCGTTGGGGTCAAAAAAGAGCTGGACACAACTTAGCAAATAAACAACAACTGGAAATATAAGACCTGATCTACTGATACTGTTTATATCAGCAAATCAATTAATAGCTGCTAGATGTAAATCTGGATTCAGCCAAACTTGATCACATTTGCTACTCAGAATCCCCAAGGCAGGTCCCAAGTTTTGTCTCCTTATGTTTACCCCAGAAACACTTCAAAGTATATTCTACCTGACTACAAGAGTGGTTGGCCTGAGAATGCCCTGGCAGTCCAGTGGTTGACTCCGAGATTTCACTGCAGGGGTCACGGTTTCGATCCCTGGTTGGGGAACTAAGATCCCACGTGCTATGTGGCACAACCAAAAAAAAAGTAGTTGGCCCGATGAGTTGGATTTCCTCATTGAGTGGAAGCTTCTCATCTCACATCTGCTTCAGTCTAAGTAGTAGCAAGTCTCTCTAAAACCTAGCTTCTCTGCACTTCCCTTTCCCACATCTGAAAATGGAAATGATAATTGTGATTCACCAAACCAGGGCCTGATTGATTTTGTAACAGAAAATTGCTTATAAGTTTTTTGTCAGTGAGTACCATGTTCACCATTTACACATGAGAGATGAGCATGCTGGGCAAAGAGTTTTTACTTGCATTTCTTAAAGAGAAGGAAATAGAGTGGTCCTTTTATCAGAGTAGATGTTAACACACCTAACACTGCCTCCCAGAATCCAAATTAAAAGATCCTTTTTGCATCTTTTCTTGAAAAGGGGTGTCTAGAGTCTTAGAGCCTCCTGGCATATTTATCCAAGGCTCTTTTTTTGCCTTTAAAAGAAATCCTAGTATGAATCTGAAAAATGACTAAATTAAAGGTGGATCTGTCAAACTGTCTGTGTTTTTTTTTTAACCACCTTAACACACCTTTTATCCAAAGAACTAAAGGCACCATGGAAAGAATCTCAGAGGAGAAAAACTCGAAGACTTGTGGTAACTTCTAAGGAGCAAATCCCTGTGCAGATGAGGTTGGGCTCGGGAGAATCCTGTTGTTATTCTTTGAAAGTGACCTGAGGACTCATCACATCTAATATCCAAGTCCATAATGATTGAGAGAGGTGACCCCTTGATTTCAGTAAGTTGATAAAGGAGCCAAGGCTAGAACCTGGACTTATTTTCACATCCCTTCCACTTAGCATTTACAGGCCTCCACATAATCTTTTTTATCAAGATGAAAAATTACGGCGAAATTCAACTTGTGGCTTCTCTCAGAAGGTGATTTTAATTGTTTTTCCTGTATGTTTTGTGGAGAGTTGAAATGATGAAAAATATTTAGATGATGGTGATAATGTTCAGGTAACTTAGTGCTCTGTAGCTCTGCCCCCTGACAAGCCGTACTTCCAATCCATGTTGAGGGACTGTCATTCAGAATACAGTGGATGTATCTTGCCTTTTGTAGGTGCCTGGTAAACATCTCTCCAAATAATGTCAGAACATGGGCTAGAGAGTCTTAATGAAGCATGGATTTTCTTTCAGAAACCTTGATGCAGACCATAAAAGTGCTAATCATAAAACAATAACCAACACTTGAGTCCTCACTCTGTATCAGGCACTGTTACTCAACATCTTATAACAGTATGTTTCCAAATGTGGTCCCTGATCCAACAACATGAGCATCACTTGGGAACCCATTGATTCTCTGGCTCTACCCCAGATCTACTGAAGCAAAACTTTGAGGATGACCCCAGCAATCCATTTTAACAGCCTTCCAGGGAATTCTGATATATGCTAGAGTTAAAGAACAACTACTTTTATATGAATTCTCTCATTTAGCTCTCATCCAATAAAATGAAACTATTGTCAATCTCACATTATTAAGGATGTAACCGAGGCATATGAGGTTGAGTAATTTGCTTAAGAGAGTCCAGCTTGCAAGGGTTAGAGTCAGGTCATCTGATCCAGGGTCCTACTAGTCCACATGGATCTTGCACAATGTCTTCTGGTGTGTTTGGGGTCATGTCCTGAGGTTGAACTGTCCAATATCCTATATCAGTTCAGTTGCTCAGTCGTGTCTGACTCTTTGGGACCCCATGAACTGCAGCACGCCAGGCCTCCCTGTCCATCACCAACTCCCAGAGTTTACTCATACTCATGTCCATTGAGTTGGTGATGCCATCCAACCATGTCCCCTTCTCCTCCTGCCCTCAATCTTTCCCAGCATCAGGGTCTTTTCCAATGAGTCAGTTCTTCACAAGAGGTGGCCAAAGTATTGGAGTTTCAGCTTCAACATCAGTCCTTCCAATGAACACTCAGGACTGATCTCCTTTAGGATGGACTGGTTGGATCTCCTTGCAGTCCAAGGGACTGTTGAGTCTTCTCCAATATCACAGTTCAAAAGCAGGTATATATGTCCATCTAAATTTAAATTAATTAAAAATAACCAAATAAAAAATGCATTTCCTCTACAGCACTTTCGAGGGCCCAACAGCCTCAGTAACTAGTGACTAGCATCTTGCACAGTACAGGTGGGAGTATCTCAGTCATCACAGGAATGTCTCTTGGACCCTGCTGCTTTAAGGCTTCAGCTTACTGATTTTGCTTGTAATAGGTCAAGCACCTACAGTTGAGGACTCTCCCTGGAGAATTCTTCAACTAGAGAATTCATGAAGATAGCAAAGTGATTAGGTGAGAATGACAGACCTTATAGTTTCCCAAACTTCAGTTCAGTCCTTCAGTCATGTCTGACTCTTTGCGACCCCATGGACCGCAGCATGCTAGGCTTCCCTGTCCATCACCAACTCCTGGAGCTTGTTCAAGCTCATGTCCATCAAGTCGGTGATGCCATCCAACCATTGTCCTGTCGTTCCTTTCTCCTCCTGACTTCAATCTTTCCAAGAAGATACAGATACAACTTAGTATCTATAGTTTCTTAGTTTCTTAGATAGTAAGAATACATATGTACTTGCTATGTATTCTGGGTACGTGCTGGGTACTTTGTGTGTTTATATATGAAATATCTCATTTACTATTTATATAGTAAGACAAACTATTAGTGCTACTTTTTCAAATAAGTAAAGAAAGATTCAGTAACTTGGCTAGACTCACACATTTGCCATTAATCTGTAGTCTCTTCTAGCTGGGAACTCAGTGGTACCTCTTAACTAAGTTGCCCAAGGAAGTGACATGTCCCTTCTTGACCACTCTGGGTTCTGTTCCTCTCCTGCATGTCCCATTATCTTAGCCTTCACATCTCCTTCCCTGCCTCCTTTCTTCCTTCGGTGCTCTTATAATAATTCCCTTCAAGGTCTTAGTTTGTGCATGCAGGGTGGTTTAGGCCGATTTCTCCCCGTCGTTTCCTGCAGTTCACCCTGTCTAGCACTGTGTGCCTATATTTCTAGGTAAAGGCACAGTACTGTGGGGCAGCACTTGGTCTCTTTAACATGATGACTCTGTCTGTTCTCATCGACTGTATGTTCTCCCTGTGTGACTAATGTTCTCTTTTCACTCTGTCAACTGGAGGGGACTTAGGAATTTTTTTTGGCTAGGAAGAGTCCATTTCTCCCTGTAATTGAGCTGAAAACAGATTGCCTATTGCTAGCATGTAACGTTTTCAAACACCCCCGTAGACAGTCAACCTGGAGGCTTTACTGTTAATCATTTAAGCTCTCATATGTTAACTTTCGACAGTTCTGTTATATTGGCCAGGCTGGGATTATCTTATTTCTCCAGGAAGGAAACTGGCTCAGAGCATTAGTGACTTATCATCGGATATGAAATTCAACATGATGACAAAAGTTCGTGTAGGGCGTGCTTTGTGAAAGGCACAGGGGAAATGCAATGTGCCTATAATGTAGAGGAAGACACAGATATCATGCTCAGTCTCAGTCATGTCCGACTCTTTGCCACCCTATGACTGTAGCCCGCCAAACTCCTCTGTCCATGGGATTTTCCAGGCAAGAATACTGGAGTGGGTTGCCATTTCCTCCTCCAGGGGATCTTCCCAACCCAGGGATCAAACCTGCATCTCCTGCATTGCAGGAGGATTTTTTTTTTTACCGCTGAGCCCACACAGAGCTAGAGATACTATCTAGCAAATATTGGATGAGCATAGAAATGAGCAATTAACCAAGATGTTTAGGAAAGAAATAAGACAGATATAGGATAGAAGAAAGGACTTTCCTATCTCAACTAGGAAAGGACCCAGAAACATGAAATTTATATTTAGGGAAAGCAAAGCTATACAGTATATGAACAAAATGAGAATGCAAATATTAGATTGAACCATATGAAACTGTCAGTACTTGATTATACCAACAAAACTGGCAGTTAGTTGCATGTGGATCCACCCACTGTGTCCAATGAACAAGCATTTTGTGGAGTGCCTATTTTTCAGGCCCCATCTAAGCACCAAGAATTAGGAATGAGACACAATCCCCACCCTCAGAGTCCCCGTTTCCTCTGTGGAGATGAGCATGGAAAGCCAGTGAGATTCATGTCAATGTATGGCAAAAACCACTACAATATGGTAAAGTAATTAGCCTCCAACTAATAAAAATAAATGAAAAAAAAAAAAAAAAAGCAAGCCAGTGAGAGGCAGATGAGCAACTAGAACCAAAGTCTTCTGAGTCTTGTATGTCTTCAGAGTACATCAACTAAGGCATTATTTGAAATATGGCCTCTAAGTGTTGTGCTCAGTGGCTCGCAGACAGAATATTTAGTATTTGATATTTAACCATGTTGGCTCTATGGAATCCAAACTAGTTCTTTGAAATATTCCCTTTCCACTCCTGCCCACATATACTGTAAAACAGGCTGATGGTTTTCATTTTCTAGAAGTGTTTCCAAAAAGCAGATGATGTGACTTTATAGGACTCTGTTTAGAATAAAATGATCTGATTTTACATAGTGACTGCTAACTCATCATATCCAACTTAATTCCTTTTTCCAATAAGATTTTAAAGTACAGACTCTTCCTGGGAAGAAAGCCATGTCCCCGGTCCTATCTGTGAACACAGAATGAAGATGCACGTGGGCCTGGCATTTACAACCACATCCCACACTAGCCTGGCCCCCGAGGAAGCTCATTGAGAGCAATTGTCAGTTCAAATAGAGCTTGTCCAGAGAGTTCCCTGAGTTTGCAGCAGCCTCCACCCCAAAAGGAGGTCCGGTGATCTTTTTTTTTTTTTTTTTAACTCTGTGGCTTGTCCAGACGTGACATGGGAGTCAGACCTGGGGATAGAAGTGTTCCCACTATGAACCAGGCAGAAGGGTTATTCTTATACTGGAAGGGGAGGCAAGTACTGATGGGAATTCAAAGCCACAAACTGCTTTCTGATGGATTTCTCTCCTAGGATTAACAAATAGTGGAATTGCTGAGGTTGGTGGTTCCCCAGTCAACCATTATTATATTACTTTGTTCTTAGGCCTGCCTTTTTTACTCGCTACTTTCTGATCATCTTTAAAACTCCTGCAAGCTCAGTACAAAGAATTCCGTGGTAACTAGTGTGCACCACATCACGCAGAAGGGGCATGTGCTTTCATCCTTGGGCATCTCCTCCCCACTCCCCATATCTGAATGGATGCCAGTCTAGCTACTGCTGTCGTTTCTCTTATCTATTGCTTCTACTATTCTCTAGAGAAACAAATAAGCAAAACACACCTCCTCCTGAGACCATTCAGCTTTGGCACTCTGCTAGCTCTCCTACCCCTGCTGTTTCAAGATCTTCCCTGATGCCTGTGTCTGTTTCATTTCTCTTCAAGTCGGCCTTGACGTCTCACAACATAAGCTCCTTCTGCCAGTTCCTGGGCGTCTGTGTATTCCTCCTTATTTCCTTCCCACTGTTCTACAGTAACTACCATTGTGTACATCACTCCTACCCACTCTGTGCCCCACTGTCCTTTCTGCACCAGCCACTGTCATGACTTCAATGCCATTCTCACACCTTCTACAACTTCATATTCATCAAACCACCTGTTCCTCCATAGTCTTCCTTTTGTTTTTTTCTTCTTTTTTTTCATTTTTAAAATTAATTTAATTGGAGGATCATTACTTTACAATGTTGTGATGATTTTGCCATACATCCACATGAATCAGCCATAGAGGAATTGGGGAAAGAACCTTTCAATGTCCTTTTGATGTACTGGCATATTGACTTGTCAAGGTAAATGAAAGAGTTGTTACCTTTTGATCCATCTTAATTCCAAAATAAAAACCTCTGTATTAAGCATAAAAGTTTTTCCACCCCACCCCATCCCTCCTCTCCTCCCAGAAAATAATATGTGCAGATACATAAAGAACTCTCATTGTATTTTAGATTTTTGTCCCTTTATACAGGTTTGCCATAAAGTTGTGGCAGAGACTGCTCACAGTATCCAATCTCTTGTTCTTCCTTTTTGGAATGGAACTCTCACCCTTCATTTTAGCAGAGCACATAGTCACAGGTAGGAACTACATTTCCCAGCCCACCCTGCAGCAGGGTATAAATTTATTCCAGCCAATGGGATGGAGCAGAGGTGTTACATTCAATTTCCATTTTTTCAAAAGTCTTTATTGGCTTTGTTACAATATTGCTTCTGTTTTATGTTCTGGTTTTTTGATTAGGAGACGTATGTGGTCTTAACTCCCCAAACAGTTTTCGAACCTGCACCCCCTGCATTGGAAGGTGAAGTCTCGACCACTAGACCACCAGGGAAGTCCCATGTGAAATTTCCAATTCACATCTTTTTAAACAGAAATTACTTCCTCCTTCCACTTCCTGGAACTGCACATTGGACCCATTGATGAAAGCCACAAGAGAAAGATGGGAAGGGTCAACCCCCATCTTGGGTCCCTGGACTTGGCAAGAAGCACTGCCTTTCTATCCTGGATTGCCCATGTACCTTGGGACTGTTATGTGAGAAATAAACTTTTATCATATTTAAGCCACTTTAACTTGAGGTCTCTCTGTAATAGTACCTTAGCTATTACCCCAACTAATACCTTACTGGCCTCTTTGTCCAATGTCTTCCTGCAATTGGATTATTACAATTCAACCAACATTTTATGTGAGCCTTCTATGTGGTAAGGTGGTGGTTTTCAAAGTATGGCTCCCAGACAAGCAGCATCATCCTCACCTGGGAACTTGTTAGATGTGCAAACCCACAGACTGCTTTCCAGACTTGCTGAATGAGAAACTCTGGGGGTGGGACTCAACAATTGGTTTGAACAAGCCCTCCAACTGATCTGGATGCACATTAACGTTTGAGAATCACATACTGGGCAGATAAAAAAGGAATAAAACCCAGCCTCAGTTGAGGAGTTTACATTGACGTAAAAGGCGTGCAAATAGATAACCAATCACAAAAATGTAATTATTGTCTTGACTTTCTATTTCCTGTCTACTCAACTTTTTCATCAGATTAACTCAAAATAATTTAACTTAGACTATTTTTCTTTATATATATGATTATTTATAGACAGCCTAAAAATTTAGGTCATTTGGGTCTATGCAAATCCTAAAAGGGAAAATAAATGAAGTTACTTTTGTAGGTCAACACAAATTTGGTTATCAACATTAGAACCAATGAAAGTCTCCTGAAGCCAAGAGAGACAAATAAGAAAAGGGAGTTATTTTATACTGTGGGTAGTAAAATTACAGTACTTAATTACCCTATAAAGGGTTATATGGCCTAGAAATAAAAACAGTTGAGTGTGGATTAAATTTATGAGTGAGAAAGTCATAAAATTACATTAAGCACAAGTTAGGAATGTTTAAATTATTTCTGAAAGTATCTGACGTCAATATCATGAACGGAAACTACAGTCTTTGCTGTCACCACCCTTATCGTTTTATCATCAGTGTCCAGAACTCTAGGCTAGGTCAGACTAGGCCAGTGTGGGATTGGTGGTGGGATGGAAAGGCAGATGACTGAGAGGAAGGACTCTTGTGGGTAGAGTCTTTTGTATAAAACCCATACACACTTCAGATTTGATGGGTAATAAAAGTAGAAGAAATAAGGGAGACAATGGATGCAGTTCATAAAAACATGTGCTATGATTTCAGATTAAAGCCAGTTTATTATTCACATTAACAGGGGACAACGCAGATAACTGAAACCTGTAGATAATCCAAAAGCTAAATAAAATATTATTACCACTATACCCAACAAGCTGATCTTACATTTTTAGCACAGGAGCTAAACACTCTGGGTAATGCAGTAATATGGGAGAAGCATTAGCATGCCCTCAAACTAGCCAATCTTGAGATTCAGGAACTTTAGACTCTTTCTGATAATGAAGAGGTGGCAGTTAGCATTGCCCAGCTTCCCCAAAGTCATGTGAATCTTTAGAAGAAAGGGTTTGATTCCATCACCTTGTATTAGGAACACAACATCATTTGCTGCTAGAGATTATTTTAGCCCTGGCTTATACACTTCCAAAATCTTGCAGGGTCTTTGAACCACCATCCAGTTTGGTAAAATACAACCACTTTATTTCCTTCATTTCCTGCTTTTTTGCTTTAAGGATATTTCATCCATCTTTTTCTCCCAAATCCTGTCAGTCAGGATTTCTATTCCAAATAATCTGGAGTCACAAGCATTCAACAGTCTGAAGGCAAGTGAGCTTTTTATTGCATTTTTATTGAGAGTAAATTGAACTATGTGGGCAGGCTAGAGAGGGGCTCCTCTGTGAGGCTCCAATATGCCCCACTGGTGCACCCCAGCGAGGAATCATGTTACAAGAATGACATCACAGCAATCTGCTTATATTGGCTGACAAGACCCATCAGACCCCTGTGCACTGCCAGGAGGTTAACTCCTTCATCCACAAGAGAGTTTATGTGACCCCAGAAGTCTCTTAATTCTTGTGGATTTCTAATCTTTTCCTAATTTAACATATGAAGACGTGTTTGGTAAACTATAACCATATTTCATCTTCACAAACCTGTATCAAGCATAAGGATTGTTATCCTCATTTTATAGATAAGTTTTCCCTGTGTCCTTCAGCACCAACTAACCTATTTATTGCACTTGAAGTTTGTGCCATAAATTACTATTATTTTTTCTCTTATATATACTTGTTTGTAATGTTTTGAGCACATACCATTGCAAAAATATTGTTTTTTTTTTATTATTATTGATCTTGTAAACTATTCATGGTCTGGGGCACAATTCTGGGCACAGAGCAAGTCCTTAATAAATGCTTATTGACTGAAAACAGTCCTGAGAAGACAGAGGGTTTAGGAGCTGCCAAGTTCAGTGACTCCAAACTATGTAAATTCATTCACTAATTTAAAATTCTTTTTCACTGCTTACTATATGCCAGGCAGTGCTAGACACTGCGGATACAGTGGTGAACAAAATTGACAAAAATCCCTTTCCTCTTTGAACTGAAATTGTAGCAGAGACAGACAGACAATGAACCAACAAGGAAAGAAAAGGGTGAGTCATAATGTGATGAGTGCTATGTAGAGATATAAAGAAAATGGGGGTGGAATGTGTTATGGATGAATTGTGTCTATTCCTCAACCCCCTAAAATTCATAGGTTGAGGCCCTAGCCCCCAGGACCTTAGAAGTGATCATAGTGGGAGATAGGGCCTTTAAAGAGGAAACTGAGTTAAAATGAGGTCATTAGTGTGAGTCCTAATCCAATCTGACTGATACCTTATAGGAAAAGGAGATGAGGACATTAGAAAGATACCAGGAACACTCATGCACAGAGAAAAGACCACATGGGGAATGTACAGGCAAAGGTGGCCACCTGCAGGATACACAGAAAGGCTTCAGAAGAAATCAAACCTGAACCTGCCAACACATTGATCTTGGACTTCCAGCCTCCACACTATGAGAAAACAAATTCCTGTTGTTAAGCAGTCTGTGGTATTTTGTTAGGCAGCCTTAGCAAACTAATACAGAGCACTTCTTTTAAATAGGGTTATAAAGGATGAGTTTTCTGGAGTTAAATTTAGTCAAAACACTGAATGAGGTGAGGAAGACAGTGATGTAACATCTGGGGAAGGCCAGTGCAAAAAGAGGGACCATCAAACTCAAAAGCCTTGATGCAAGAGGCTGCTTGACTTGTTAAAGGATAGCAAGGGGACCAGCATGGCTAGAGTCAAGTTAACGAGAGGGAGCGGGGTTGATGAGGCTGTAACTGGAGGACAGTCAAGGCCTCACAGGACATTGTAAGGATCCTGGCTTTTACCTTAGGGTAATAGAATTGGGAAGCCACTGCAGGTTTAACTTACGAAAGTTTCATTCAGGCTATTATGTTAGAAAATAGACTATAGCGGGCAGAGATGGAAGTGGGAGACCAGTTAGGAAAGTATTTTAATCATCCCTATAAGAAGGAAGGCTAGGAGTATGGTAATAGTGATGGAAGTTGTAAGACGTGGTCAAATTGGTGATATTTGTGAAAGCAGAGGTAACAGAATTTGCTGATAGTTTGGCTGTGATATTGGAGAGAGGAAAAAGTCAAGGATAACTTCAAGAGTTTTGACCTAAGAAGTTAGAAGGATGGAGTCCCTCATTACTGAGATGTGACAGACTGTGGAAGGAGCAAATTTAGAAAGATCAGAAATTTCATTTTGGACATGTGGAGATGTTTAGTGAGCAGTTAGATATTTAAAACTAGGTCAGGGAGAGGTCCAGGCAAGGGATATTATTTGGGAGTTGTCAATATAGAGGTAGCATTTAAAGCCAAAAGTCTTGATGAAATCTCTAAACGAGTAATCATGGGCAGAGAAAAGAGGAGGACCAAGGATTGACCTTGTTTCAGGGTAGAAGGAAATAAGAAAATAAGCAGCAACAGGACTGATAAAGACAAATATGATAGAAGGAAAACCAGGAGGGAGTGTTGCCTTGGAAGACAAGTGAAAAAGATGTTTTCTGGAAAAGGACTAATCTGTGTCAAGTAAGGTGTTATTCAGTCGTTAAGTAGTAT